GATGATGATGATGACGATGTGAGCATTGGTGAATGATCTTCATTGCCTGAGTTTGATACGGTCGTATCCATAATGTTGGATTTACTTGTTTGAAAAGGACGAATGTAAGAAAAACAAACGATATGTTTAATGGATCAATCTGAACTATGAATCAGATGTTCTTCAACGAAAAAAGCATCTAGAAAAGATTTGATCACAAGTCAGAAATACTGTTGTTGCCAAGGTAGTGCATTTCATGTCAGCTGATGAATGTAGACAAAAGAAAGAGGGAGTACAGAACACATAAAAAGAGTACGTTTCAATTGCGAAAGAAAAAAGCTTATTTAACGAATAAACAGATGATTGTGACAGATGACACTAGTGACAACATTCAATGAGGAAAAATCAAGTGATTGTATTGTATCTGTGTTAAAGAGCGAAAGAAAAAAACAACGTGTCAAATGATGATTTATAGTATTATACTTTCGACTGAAATGATTAATCATTGTTGTTTACATTACATTGTCGAAGCGAAATTACTAAGTTTTCTAATCTAAAATCAAAGAACATATTTAATATCATATGTAAAATGTTTATATTTGTGTTCAAGTAGATATATCATGACGAAAGAAAGTATATGAAAAACGAGATAAAGATCGAAAGAAAACAAACAACGAAACGAACAAGACAACATATTTTTAGCTATGTAACCAATAGAACTGTACAAGCGAAGAGAGAGAGAGAGAAGAGAAAAACAACAGGAGAAGATATTTTCGTTTTTTTTTTTCAATTTTCATATTGATCATATCGATTCATCCATCATATTTTGTCGAGTATTTATTTGTCGTTGTTAATGATGTCGAATGATGATGATGAGTAAAATTTTTATTATTGTGTTTAGTGATCGTTGGTGTGACGAGTGAACGAAATGCATCGATTATTAACTGTGGATTTTGTTTAGTAAAAGCTAACCAATTGTTTGTTTTCGATATTGCTAAAGCATTTGAACGTATAAATGCGAGGATTTGTTGTTTAAGTGCGCTATCGTTCGCTTGATCGCTAACTTCAAGCATTTCGATGGCATTATCGACTTTTAACACTTCTAACATAGCTGACTTGGTTAGATCGCGCAATTCGAATAAGTCATATTTTACAGCAGCACGGAAAAGATCAATAGCATTTAAATTATTATGAATTTCTTCACTACTACTCGGCAAATGACCTGTGTACATGTAGATTAGCATAGCACGAACGGTGGATGGTTCAAGATCGTCGATATACAAGTCGATGGGAGGACATTTTAAATTATGATTTAGTCCATTGGAATTGCTTAAACGTATTTGATGAGCGAATGACGATGATCGTGATATTAGTATTGCCTTGTGTGCGTGAAAGGTTGCCAATGGAGTTATATTGGAGTATTTAATGTAGGATGATTGAACATCGACGTTGTGCTCTTGATCGTGACAGATACATAAACAATGTTTATGAATGGATGCTGCACTGGAAGACGATGAACACGTGTCGGAAGAAGATGTTGAACAATCCGAAGACGATGAATGACTAATCTCAGATGAACTATGAGCATTGCGTAAAAGTAGAGACGTTGTTGAACGAGTCGCTCGTCGCGTTAAAGACGGTTGACATGGACTGGAGATAGATGGAGATGATTCAGAATCTTTGGAAATAACTAAAAGTGAAAAAATAAAAACAGCTCTAGAAGTACCGGAAAGTGACAGCATTTCAAACTCTAATTTGTGTTAAGCCTTTTGACCTATAATGTCGAAAATTGATATTTATCGAATCTTTGGGAGAATCTCTCGTTTATATTAGGATAAAGTTCGTGGCACGCTTTTTAAATACCTGATGATGACTGTTCGTGTTGATCAGATATTGGCTCATTGTGAATTGCTTTGGTTTTGTCAGATTTACAGTGACATGATGAACAGGACGGATGTTGCTGTTGTTTAATTGATGTTCGTTTCGTTCGCGGGCTTCTCCGATGTTCATCGTTGACATTTTCTTGTTGTGATGGCTGTTGTTTTGGTATGACATGAATATGTACATCGGTAAAACGTTCGTCATCTAGAAGTGTTTTTATTTGACTGGATAAAAGTTCTAAAGATTTATAGCGTTCTTTGTCATCAGTGAATAAACCAGATACAACTGGAGTTGCTGTTGATGAAGCATTCGACGGATTTGAGTTCATTATTGCCGGTGTTGTAGAAGATGACGCTGATGATGAAGAAGTGGTAGCTTGAGTTTTCGGAACAGTATTCAATGACTGCTGTTGTGATGCAGGCGGCGGTGGCGGCGGCGGCTGCTGTTGCTGCTGTGGTTGTTGGGGTGCAGGAGGAGGTAAAATTGTTGAAGAATGATGATGGTGATGGTGATGATGAGACGGATGATATAGATCACTTGTGATTGTTTCCTTCTCATCAACTAGTATCACTCGAACATAGACACGAAGGCGATCATCGGTTAAGAGATCATTTCGACGAGAGTTCAGGTAATTGCCATCAAGAAATTCTTCATAAACAAAAACAAAACACGTAAATATATACAAGCGATCATGGAATCAAAAACAAGCGTTCTGTTCTACCTGAATAACCCCAATCGTTTCCTGATGAAAATGTGTGAAAATTAGTCGAGCGTAACATAACAAGTTCATTATTTCGACTAATAACACTAAATTCTGCTTTGGCTTTGATGGTAGGCATCGTTCCACTAACATATTTAAGAAATATTGCAATATTATTAGTAGCATGTTGTTTTTCATTTAGACCACGTGGATACAATTTTAGACTCCAACGAGTATTTGAATAGGGAGTATTCACAGGTGAGAATGTTTCGGATTGTAGACAAGTTGAATTCGCATCATCGATATACGATGAAAGATAACTAAAAAGAAGAAATTTGTGTGTTTAGTTCATCAAAAAAAGTGTTCCTTTACTTGATAATCCATAAATGAGAAAATGAGCATAAATGTCGTTCGGTTCGTGAGGATGAATCGGATTCTGAGAAAGTTCGTTTATGACTTTGTCGAACCGTTGGCGTTGTATTCGTTGATGACGCTGTCGATGACGCCGTTGTCGAAGTTGAGGTTGATGTGGAAGACGAATTTACATTACCAACCGGTCGATTATTATTATTGTCCATCAGGAAATTATCATACAATTACATATTTTCTCATTTCGAAATAATCTAAAAACAAAGTTGTGAAAACTGTTGTTAACTTAACGTAACAAGTAACAAATAACTATTCTGTTTTCAACGGAATGAGCTTTATTTTTAAGCAACAAAAGTAGTTGGATCAAAACTTGGTTTCTCAGGAAAAGTGCAACCCGATTGCTGAATACATTCGAATGCACAGTAAGCACCAGCTTGAATTGCTTCCTCATGGCTTTTACCAAGAGCGAGGTAAGCAAGAAAACCTAAGCAGAACACAATACATGCAATTGGTTCATTTGAAAGACGGAACAATATACCTCCGACAAAGGAATCACCAGCACCATTTGTATCAACAATATCTAACGGTTTTTTCACTGGAAATTCTTTTATTTCTTTACCAGCTAAATGAGAACAAGATTTGATTAAACTACAACTTTCTGAAGTCAATGGCATACTGATTGCTAATACTGTTGGATCAGAACCTTGTGTAATAACAACAACACGTGCTCGTTTGGAATTCTTTTTTGGAAGTTCACTGATTGCTTTGGCAATGACGCTAACATCTTCAGTCTAATAAATATAACAATATTAGATGCGAAAGAGATCAATTATATCAAATTTACATCTAATTTTAATTGATGTTTACCAAAACTTCTTGCTTCCTAAGAAATAAAAAAAAGAGAGAAATCATCACGTCGAATGCTTCTTTTGCCGAAAGTTTGCAACAACTAACTGTTTCATTTCCGAATAAGTAATCCACATATGGCATTGCTTTCATCAACTTATCACCGAAATGTTCACATATGAACGGTGCTGATAGATTAGTACAAAATAGTTTATCATGTGTATCAGCATATTCACATAGACGCATCACAGCAGGTGGACAAACAGTATAAAAGAATCCCTAGGTCGAGAAACAAATTAACTAATGTGATCAATGATGCCGAAGAGAAATAGTTACAGCTGTATAAAATATTTTCGCCTTTTCGATCAATTGCTTATTTTTGGGATCATCTAAATGTTGAATAGTGAAATGATTAGCAGCACCTAAATTGGCTACTAGCGATCTATAAGAAGCAGTCAATCGAATTCGAAATGCTAATTTGGACTAACTAACCGATTATTGCCGGTGATTAGAACAGCACAGGTACCCGTTTGAACACGCTCTTCCGAATCCATATGAACTTGATAGGATAATTGAAGACCGGCTTTACTTGCTGCATCATGTAATAATTGATGGTACTTATCTTGGCCAACGCAGCCCATGTACGTGCATACATTAGGTTGCTGAAGTAACCACTAGAAAGAAATCGATAATTGACAGATGAAATTATATGAAAGATGATGTACTGTTGCTGCACGCATGGAATTTTGCGTCGCACCACCAGCTACGAATTGATGATTTGGAAAATCACGAAGTAAACTTTCATTTCTATAAGAGTCGATAAAGAATGTCATTGTATTCATCTCGAACAGATCACTTACAGTCCTTTATGATCATCACTGGCTAAAATAGCGTCATTAGCATTTAATTTATATCTACATTAACGGAAAAACATTTACATAGAAATGATAATTCCTTTATACATCTACATTACGTTTCAAGAAATGACGTGGGAACTTCGGCAATAATATCGAGCAATGGATTTCCAATTCCAAAAATAATTCCATCACTAAAAACAATTGTTCATCGTCGAGTAGAATGTAAAGATGAACAAACCTGAGTTTTTTACTATCAGATGTTTCAGATGACATTATCTAAAAAACCCAACGTGGAAAAACGTCATTAAAATTCAAACCGAAATGAACTGATCAGTCAGTCCAGTGCAAAAAAAAAGAAAACAAATAATCTATGAACGTGTTTTTTTTCCTCCAGCAGCTCCTCCTCCAAGTCTTTCTTTGAAATGTGTTTCACATTCACGCATTTGTTTTTCTAAATATGTTTTTGTCGACTAGAACAAAAAAAAAACAAGGAATGAAACAATCGACTAAATCTTTTCATTAATAACATACTTCTTGTTTCTTGATATCGTCTTCACATGTTTTGATCTTTTTTTCGATTTGTTCACGAACTTCAGCTTTTGTATTTAATACAAACCTAAACAATTTTCAATGGATATCATCATAAAAAATTCAAATGGAAGACAATGATTTTACATTCGACCAACTGAACTAAACATTCGTGTTTCCGTAGGTAATGTATTGATTTCTTTGTCAGTTAACTTTGAACGTTGAATTTCTCGTTTAAGTCCTTCAATTTGTCCAGTAGATTTCTTCAATGATGTTTGAATATCAATCATTTTCATTTGTAATTGACCTAACAACTAAAATCAAAACATGATCTTCAATTCAAAACATTTTCTCAGAAAAAAAAATCAATAACGTACATTTTGAGTTTCCTCTTCACGTGATCCAGCACTCATTCTCGCTAGTACAGTTTTCTTTTCGGCTATTTCTCGAAATGATAATCTAAAACAAAGGAAAACAAAAGTTATCAAATAACTTCGAGAAAAAAGAAATATTCAACGATGTGTGAATGTATGTACATACATTTGTTTTAGTTTATTGTTGTTCTGTTGTGATGTGCCGGCAATCAATAAGACATTTCATTGGCTCCTACCTGCCATTTCTAAGTATTAGTATACCTTTTATTGATATGACGATGAAACTATTTATGACGTGCTTTTGTTTTTATACGTTTTAGTTGAACTACAAAACAAAAAGATACTTTTCGAAATATGACAAACTTTGATGAATGGCGACATCTATCGTAAGATAAATCCTATGGAAATCGATAGCTCGAAGTCAAACTAATTTCGAGGTAGAACAGCAACAGGGATATAAAAAGTGAATCATAGTTTGAATTTCAATTGTGTATACTCTTAATTTATGTTTCAATATAGATATGAAAGAAGCTAAGAGTTATAACCAGAATAGATTCATCCCTAAACTGAAAGTAGTTCTGATACTCATTTATCAGATATTAGCTGTCGACTTAACAATTTATTTGCGAAGTGATATTCGAGCTTTTAATAAGTAGCTCGCATAGTAATTTGGATGACAACTGACCATGTGTGAAGATCGATGTTGTTAAGGTTTGAGAAACGCCTTATGGAATGCTTTGTATGTCTCGCTATTTAATGAGAACCTTCGAAAAAACCAAGTAACCCGAAGAAGAGTTGCATCCTTATTGAATGCGCGTCACATTGATTGACAAAGAATAGCTAACTCGTGTTCCAAATAATTTAAGCGAAACCACAATGTAGATCAAAAGGTCGAAGAAGTTGCTGACAACTAAGGTATGGCCACTATCGATCAATATACAAAAATGAGATAACTCAATTACAAAACAAAGAAAAATCTTAAGGAAATGACAACATTTACAAACAGATTTTATTCAAATAATAAATCAGAAAAGTGTTCAAAAAAAAAGATATGTTTTAACTAGAATATCTGGCAAATGTGTAAACATAGATTGCACAATCGTTATTGAACACTTCATAAATGGTTAACAAGTCACTAATCATTTCTTAATAGCAAAAGACAAAATAACTAATTATGTATTCATTAAATCTGTCTATAGTCATTTTTCACGAGTCCAATAAACCACGAGCTTGTCTATTTTTTTTACTAACTCTTCCCATATTCACATTTTTTCAAAGGTCACGATACGAATAGTTCTTTTGTGCCATTAGTGTCAAATACCCAATCTGATAATTTCAAATGACCACTTCTTGCGGTGCTTATCATACACTTTCATTGAGTTTCTACTTTGTAGCTGCAAACACACGCACTGAAAGTGTTAATTTTCAGTACTATATACATGTATATACCCTGTAAAGTATGTAATCGATAGTATTGCATACACGGGATACAATGTGGTTGTATCTTCAAATAGCTCTATTGATTCTTGTAAGGCAATTCGTGAAATCATACCATTAAAAAAGATAAGTTTTGATATTTTGACATTCTCGGTGACAGTGATCGCCACTTACTCATGTCGACAAGTACGGATCGGATCCGGCGCAGCTGTCAGGACCGATGCGAAATCTGTTGAAAATTTTGTAAAAGTTTGAGTTCATCAAAGTAGTGCTGCATTGACGGATGATAAAGGATTTGGTCGAAAGCTTTTATTCCTTCTCAATTCATATAAGAAAAGTAGTTCGTTAACTAAAAAACGCACAGAATTTCATTATTTCAATAATCTATCTTCTTGTGCTCATACAATTCGATGTTTCGTTAGTACTAATGTAAAATAATATGAATTGTTTATGTTTTTAATCGAAATTCTATCCAATCGACCATAAATGTGATTAAAAATAACTTGGAAAGAAGAGAAAACAATGACGATATCGTTTAACTTAAAGAAAATATCAAGTTCATTCATGTAATTCAGTTGCTATTGAAATTTTATTCATTTGTTTATTTTAATAATAATAATAACAACAACAACAAAATAGCAAACAACAGAAAAGATGAAATTCTTCTTAAGGTTTTTTTTCTTTTTAAATTTTGCGCAGCACAAAACAAAAACATTGTCTTTCGTACAAAATGAACTGAAGTCATTTGAATTTCTTCAAGATTAATTAGTTTTGAGAAGGACTATGATAAATAAAACACGATAACAACAGTAATAATAAGAATAAGGACGACAACAACAACAACAAAAGATTTCTTTTATAACAATTAAGGAAGAAAACAAAATTTCAATCAAGTAATCAGATCATAATAAGGTCATAGACGCAGAAAATCAAGAAGAACAAAAATCAAACTACAAACATACACACAACAACCATTAACCCCACTCGATGAATTGCAAGACATTGAAGATAAATAAATATGAACATAAATTGAGACGAAAACAAAAGAAGACGATGAAAATTCATTCAGGCTCGAAAGAGAATTTTTGATGTTGCACCGCGTTTTGATTCTTGATCTTCATGACTCTAAACAAATTCATTGAAATTTCATTGTCTTCAATGAAACGATAAATTCTTACTTCGAAAATCAATGGTAAATTTCGATGAATATCCGCTACTTCACGAAATCGATTTCTAAATCAACGACAAGAAAATAAAACAAACTCAATTTCCATTTGTCTCTTACCCGATTCGTTTTGTCACATCAGCATTTTTCCAATCTTTTGTCCACAAACTAATACGATCGCCTTTACTTCGTATTGACACAACGCAACCGTTGACATGTTGCGCATCTTCAGTATATTGATCACCGATCAATGACAGTAACTAAAAGACGAATCAAAGTCAATTTCAACAAATTCAAAGAATAAAAACAAACAGTGAAGAGCCAATATTTGTCAAGTTCAGTTGCACGTTGACTTTTATTCAAATTTAATGACCATCGTCCACCGGAACGATTGAATTTATCTTCCCACATTGGTTCCTAAACAAACAACAAAATCTCATGAGAAGAACTGTTCGACAAATCCATTCTCCTACTTACAATATGAGTTTTGAACAGAAGATAATCACAACCTTGTCCTAATCGACTAGCTACTTGCAAATGATTGTAAACCGACCAAAAACTCTCAACTGTTAACACGGTCGTTATTTTGATAAGATTGTCCTTCCATTCGCATTGTCTATCGTTTTTAAAAAACCAAAAAGTCCATGAATCTTCTAACGGAAATGTTAAATCATTGGATGATTGAATCATAGATGTCATTTCGTTAACAGAACTTTCTTTTTCAGATTGTTCATTTGAAACAGGAGATTTATCTTTTGGTGACAATGGACTGATCGGTGTCGTGTATGTTTCGTCGGATTGATTATCATTAGTATCGACCTTAATGTTATCAGTGACTGACATAATAATTTCTATCTAAAAAAAAATGAGTTAATCAAATTGTGTAAATGAAAGAATGCTTAATTATCACAAATTTACAAATATCACAAAGAAAATACTGTTGTGAAAGACAAAGAAAAAAAAAGGAATCGTTATTAAATATCTGATTGATGATAGCGTGCTTTTAATTGCATATTTTCATCGATTAATTGTTCAATTCGTTGCTTCAAGTCGAAATTTTCCTTTTCATATTTTAAACGATCTTCGTAAGATGTTTTGGTCACATGATTAAGTAACATTTCTTTCCGATCAACCAATTGTTTCAATACGCGGATTTCGTCATGTAGAACTTTCAAACTATCAACTAATGAATTCGATGTGTTAGAACACTGAAGATTGTCTGTCGAGGTAAATTGTGGATTAAATGCACGAGTCATGCTTGATTTGAAACTCGATATTGATTTACCAAATTTATTGGCAAATGTTTTTTTCGAAGATTTACGTGCGGGAGATGAAACATTACTTGTAGATATTATCTGAATGGGTATATCTGAACAAATAAGAAAGAATGACATTGTATGAAGATGTAAGTCTGCTTATGAAAGATGTTTATTACCTGATCTATGCTTTTGATCTATTGTTATCATATGAGTTTTTGTTCGCTCTCCATCATTTATTGCACCTGCGCAAGAGAATCGTTTCGGACGGAGTTGGACTTGCTTGTCTTGCTCTTCAACATCTTCTCCTTCATAACATGTCAGAAATGATTGTTCATTATTGAAGGAATCTGAGTGATCATTTGCCGGTGTGTCGATTTTGAATTGTGAACGATATTGTATATCATTGTTTGTGTCCAATTGATCATCGGAACTCAAATTCGCACTGTCAACGGGTGAAAAAGTCGTGAAACGTATCGATGGCATCGACGATGAACGTGAGTTGATCTTCATCGATTGATCATTATTTGATAAAAGTGAAGAAAACGATGAAAAACCACTGGATTTAGCGATGGACTCATTGTTCGGTTCGCATCCTTCGTTTGAATTGATCTAAATAAAAAATCTATTCGAAAGTTCATCTTCGACAAGCAAACTTCTTACCAAAAATAGGTATTCACTATGATCAATCAGTACTCGAATCAATGGAAATAGATTAAAACTAGAACTATCTAATAGATATTTGACAAGGTGCAAATCTAAATCATTACTTGTGTCCTTTGATCATATTTAAATCAAGTTCTTCGGCTGGCCTAATAAGATTGTTTCCAAATGTAACTGCTAAATTCTCGGTATCCATTTTTGTTTCGTTCGCATGTTGTGTTAACTTTTTTAAGAACGAACACAAATATGCGAGAAGTGCATAATTAATACCTGACAATGTCCGTTCGATTAATTGTTTTAATCGATCGATATCATTTGTTTGATTGTATTTAAATCGTGAGCCGAATTCAAAAAATTCATCGAAATTTTTCACTGGAATAACGGATTCCGGTAACGAGTGAAGATAAAGTTTCAACAACGACGAGATAGTCGCAGGTGAATATGAATCGTTCAGTTCAATAATCGTTCCACGATCGTACATATCACGTAATTCTTTGATTGAAGATTGTTTGCCAGGTACTCTAACAAGAAAAACAGTACGTATGATTGCAATTTCCTGAATAAATTGTTACCGAAATAAGCCAACAAATGTTGAACCATACTCAAGTAAGAATTCACAACATTGCCGAACAATCAACGGAACAGGAGATGATTTATCACGTGAGTATTTATACGTATTTTCCAAAGATTGACCAAAAATACCTAATTGTCAAAGATTTTTCGAATAAAAATTCCCTGTAACTCTGTTGAAACTTACCACCACCAATTCGGCTATATGCTGTTCTTTTCAAAGCTAAAAACCAACCATCATACTCCTCTTTTGATTCAGTCTGAAGTAAATGTATCTCATCTAGGTAATA